GGCATGAGGACATGGCAACTTCCCCCGATCTCTTTAATGGGACCCCCCCCCCCAATTTGGAGGGACAGGCAGAGACTACAACTGCCCCTCCATCCAAGACTACAATTGCCCCAATGCCCAACCCAGTTGTGATTTTGGTATTCTAATACTACAATGTGGAGAAGGAGACAGAAGGTGATGGCTAGACTATAACCAAGGCAAACATCATATCCTTGATCAGGAGGGAGAGGGCAAATTATGAGGGTGGTGGGGAAAGAGGCCTAAGCTTTGTATGTTGCTGAACAAAGTACACAGCTCCATATCCGAGACGGAGTCTGCTATTGGGGTGACACAGCTGGAATATAAAGAGAAGCTGGACTGTAAGGGTCCTGATTTGGGCCACCTTTGTGAAGATCTCCTGAGAGGAGATCAAGTATCAACAGTACTGCTGAGGTGCCTGTCAGACCACTGCCGATTCCCAGTAGTAAGAAATTATCTGAGCTCTCGAAAATTGTGAGTAAAGACATTCAGAGGTGAAAGAGGGAAGACACTGGGGGATAACTCCATATACACCCACTCAACTACTTCAGTCTGTGGAACTGGTGCCACATAATGCCCGTTTTGTGTTTGTAAGAACTTGGATCTTTTAGTGTGGCAGTACCTACACGTTGGAACTCCCCGTCTATTGATATCACGCAGGCGCCTTCCCTGTACTCTTTTGGCACCTGCTTAGAACAGGATTGTTTAGACAAGCCCACCTAGATATGTAGAACATTGATTTGTTTTTAATCCCTTTTTAGTTTATTGCTGATTTTATCTTTTCAGTGTTTTCATTACTGCTACTAATTCTGTGGATCAGTAATTTTATTGCATTATCTGTTTTGTAAACCACTTGGAGGGTTTTCATTTTTACAATCAAGCGGTGTATAAATTTTATGAAATAAAATAAATTAATAACATTACAGGGTTTGTTTTTGTTTCAGGTTTGGTGAGCAATGCTGTTCCATTTATTCCTCCTTCCCTTTTCCCTATCAGCTTGTGGCCACCCCTTTTGCTTTCTTGTTATTGTAACTGCTTTGGAACATAACTATTCATCAGCTTCCCTCTCCCCTTGATTTGATACCATATTACATGACAACATTCCCTTGCACTCCTCTTCTTGCATGTTTCACCATTGGCATCAGTTTGGTATTTTAGCCCCATGCTTAGGATAACAGAATGGGGCTCTGGAGGCATTAAGAGTAATTCCTTTCCTTGCCACTGACCTGCCTTATGACCTTTGAGAAATCAATCTACCATTTTCTCAGTGTCCCATTTTCATCAGTCATGCTTGCACAAACGAGAAACCAAGTCCTTTAAAACAGAAATCCCTTACTCTGTTGTCTCTCTGTTTTTCACTTAATAGTTGAATTTGTTTTCCAGGTTTACAAGTCAGTGAACAATATGAAATACACTGAAGGCCACAGCAGGAGATCGATCATCATGACTGGAAATTCAGAGTGCTGTGGTGAGTACATATTTCATCTAATAATTCCTTTCATATCCCATCCATCTTAAATTTAGCACGTCCCTGAGTGGTGTCACAGAGAATTAGGGAAGCTTAAATCCCTAGGCCAAAAAAAAAGGAAAGAAAAGGAAGTAAGACTTTAGGGATGTCAGAGGAGGCAGCATACCAGCGTAGCAAGTGAGGAATGGTGCCCAGATTTCTTCAAAGACCTCCAGGGCTATCTCTCTTTCTCTCTCTCTCTTTCTTTCTTGATAGACGACCTGCTTCTTGACAGCTAAACTGCCAAGCCAGTCTTCATTATCGGTGGAGGGGGCAAACTATGTACTACTGATGATGGAATGCTTTGCCACAAAGAATGCTTTCTGCGGCCAAACTGCTTGAGGACATAGCTAGGCCAATAAGGCCAAGATCTCACCTAGGAATTAACCTAGTATAAAACTGAAATATTTATATACTTTGACTGATAGGGCGACTTGATAGAACAGCTCTAATACATATGGGATAGTGTTGCACCCACTACAATACCATCCAGTAAGATTTGCAGGATCCAGTGAAGGCTCTTACTCTGTTAGTCTCACAGGATGAGGCTTTCTAGATTTTTCTAGGTCTAGTTCAACTACTCCCCTCAACTAAGATTGCAATCCTAACTGGGTTGGCACTCCTGCCAACCCAGCAGTTCGAAAGCATGTCAAAGTACAAGTCAATAAATAGGTACCGCTCCGGCGGGAAGGTAAACGGTGTTTCTGTGCACTGCTCTGGTTTGCCAGAAGAGGCTTAGTCATGCTGGCCACATAACCCAGAAGCTGTCTGCGGACAAACGCCAGCTCCCTCGGCCAGTAAAGCAAGATGAGCGCCACAACCCCAGAGTCGTCTGTGACTGGACTTAACGGTCAGGGGTCCCTTTACCTAAGCACTCTTGAATTCAATTGGACACGCTTCTGAGTAATCATGGTTAGGATTGGCTGTAAGGAGCCAACTAGATAAAGCATGAAAGTTTGATAAACAGGAACTCGTAAGGTTGTTTCTTTAAAAGTTTAAAAGCAGTCACAATGTGGAGGCAGGGGTCAAGAATCATATTGATATAGAATCGTGGGGTTGGTCTGGATCCCTTTTAGGCCTGTGATTCTGTATCTGTGGGGTTTAGAATCCAGCAGAAGAACCTGCTGTTCTGGTCAAACCAGTCTCTATGTTAGATAATGACCTTAGTTGGCACTTAAATACCATAATCTTAAACAATAGGGGGTCCAGCAGTCAAGAAGGTGCTGTAGAGGAAAGTGAGGGGCAGGTGAGACAGATGAGGCTCATCAACCTGGGAAAGTAGCCCATCTAGGAGAAGGAAAACTCTGATCCTAAATCTCTGCAGCCTTGCGAGATATCTTCAGGAGAAGAAAAGGAATAAACCCAGAGTGGAGTCCCTAAGACAGTTGGAGAGCACATTGTGTGCCTCCTTCTGGCAACTCCTACAGTCAAGCTGGTGCCAAACATATTCCTCTGCTTTCCTTTGGACCACATCAGTGAGGCTGAGAGAGGGGTCTTGTCGTCTGGTCAGCCCAGGACCTCCACACAAATTGCCCAGGCTTGCACCCCAGGAAGGCCGCTTTGGTCTGCTAACACAGTGGTTTAACTTCATCCTCAGAGGCACACCCCCTTGTCTCCTTAGACAGATGGACGCCAACAGCAAAATTTTAAACAGTGAACCATGTTGCCACAGCAACAATTAAATGATGGTGCTCTCCAGAAGGAGGGGATGGGCCTTTTACCCACCTTAGCTGGTTGGATGCCATGTCATCCTAGGAAGGATGACAATAAACCTTGGAGGGGACTGTGTGTGTGTGTGTGAGTTTGGCTGATGCTGGGTTACACAGAGACTTAACTTTCTTTGGGGGTTGAATGCCAAAGCTATGGCTTGTCAGATAGGCTTCCTTGGAAACCTAATGGGGAAGCAAGATCTGTTGTTGTGTTACTGCTCAGAGCCCTTCCTCCTATGCGCAGGTTGTATATATATGTAAATACAACCATATATCCTATAGCACAAATGGTCTTCATTTAAGGAAACCAAATCCTGAACTTCTGGTGTCTCTCACTACTCAAAGATTGGGGTACACACACCAATATCATCTCAGGGAGGGGAGGTTCAACCCTTTCCCCATACACCGTTTCTCCAAAGCTGTTGCTGTATTTTATTAATTATAAGTTCATGTTTAAGAAGTTTTCGCTGAGCATGATCAAGTCCTTGAGAAAAGTGATGGGAGGGCTAGAGTAAACAAAAAAATTGGCTGAGAATGTGGCCGGATGTGACAAATAAAGATCTGCTTGGGAATCACTAACGTCTACTAACATGAATAAGGGAGAGATATCAAAGCTATTCGTGTTTTGGAACAATAGTGAAGATGAGGATGTTGATAATGGCTGAGCTATACATTTTTATTTCTAACAGTCAAAATATAAAATGCCATTGCGTCTTCTTATACCAGAGTGGTTTCTTAAACGCTTGCCTCAGTCGATTGAGAAAGAAAATGGCATTTATCTTTGTAACTTTGCTTAAATGACCCAGGGTTATATGCAATGTTATTCATACTCAGAGTAGATCCATTTAAATAAATGGGCATGACTTACTTAGGTCATTAATTTCAATGAGACTGTTCTAAAGCTTTGTTGGATAGAGTTCCAAGTTTCCAAGGATCTGTGCCTAAGACCAATAGATGTTATCTGTCTGCTCAAAATTATGTCTTAAGGAATGCCACCAAAGCTATGTTTATTGTTGATATGTGGTCTTTAGGGAATACAGCTGCCAAGTCCTCTCCCACTGCCACCACAATGAACTAGGGAATGTGTCTTCACTATTACAAAAGTCACTCTAACAAAAGTTCACTTAAACGGAGACCAGTTCAGTTGAATTCTCCAAACAACTAGCACCACATTTACCATTGTTTACTTTCTCTGTGTTTCAGCTGCCTTGTCTCTTAGACCGAAATCCTGTACCAACTTAGGACTTTTGCACGCTTACATTTTGCCCTGCACTTTAAAGCTGTGTCCAAGTGCTTCCCCCCTTTTTTCTTTTTGCCCAGAGCTTGCTCCATTAAACCCCACTCTTTAAAGTTGAAGCGCAACAAATGGCAATCCAGGTTTTCCGCAGATTTTTGTTGGCTGCTATTCAGCTTTAAAGAGCAGGTTTTCACAGGTGAAGGGAGGGAAGAGGAGTGCTTGACCACAGAGCTTTAAAGTACAGACCATGCCTGGAAAGCATGGGAAAAAGGTAAGTGTGGGTAAGCCCTTAACTGGCAGTGAAGCCACTGAACTTCGTTTGACTTACTACTTAGTACATACGCAGAGATTAGTACTTAGTTCTGCCAGTCACCTCTTGTCAAGGAACTGTCCATTGACATCTTCCCACTATGGAAGATGGAACTAGTATGCACAACCAAGGCAAAATGGATCCTTGCCCATCAGCTGATGTCAAGCCCATTGGAATGACATCAGCTGATTGGTAGCTGGTTTTAGTTTTTTTTTAAATGGCCTTGTGGGCCAGATTTGATCCCATGGTAAGCCAAGATTGGTCTGTGAGCCAGAGATCCCCCACTGCTATAGTAGATGTTATACATGCATGGCAGGCATGTATAAATTACTTTTCTACCCACATCTCCAAATGAACCACAATATTAATCATGTCTTCACTTAAGGAAGTTTCTTTGGACCATCATAGTTTAAACTGCACGGAATCCTTAAAATGAAGACCTGAGTTCAATATATTACATACTGTATCATTTTAGGAAGATTCCTAGAAGTGAGTTGTTCTACATACCGGGCATGCTATGTTCTCCCACTACTTTATACCTGTTTGGTTTGTGTCCATTTGCAGACTTGCTTGCTCCCCATCCCACCCCATTCCCTAGAGGAAGAGAAAAACATGAACAAGGTTCCCATATCTCCAGCTGCACAGCCTGTGGTAAGCAGGGCTGGGGGGTGGAGATACATATGCCATGCTGTAATGGATGACTTCATGACCTCAGAGGCTTGCCATGGTCCACCAGGGCCTAGTTCTCACAAGTCTCCTGCGTGGTCATGGATCCTGTGAGGCTCTGGCTTCTGAGAAAAGCAGACGCACACAAAACGCTGCAAATCAGTGTGAGAAAGGTCACTTAGTGAGCCTGAAGCAGCCCATCTGTTCTGGCAAAGTGCATGAACTTAGAATAATCAACCCACTTTGCCAGATATTTTTAGAAACACTTGTAGTAAATGACGTGGAGGATTCCATTTAATAGCCCTGACTTTTAATGTCTGTCTTTTTGTGAGGTTACTCCTGTCCTGGTTGACTGTGAGATAAGATGCTGAATGGAGTACAACAACACACAATTCTTAGAAGTGTTAAGCAAAGGTGGAATATTACAAATATTTGCAACATCTGGGTATAAGACCCATTGTATTTAAAAAGGTGATTGCCACTTGCCCAGTCATATCTTAAAGTTGGAAAGATGCATCAATTATTACACTGGACAATCGGTTCACAATAGCCCTGTTTGCTGCCATTTCAAGAAAGTCAACACACCCATTGCAGATCTGGAGGAGCTTCATGATATATATCATTAGACAGCCATTCAGACAATTAATTTTTGTGTTCATTTGGTGAAACCTATAGGTTTGTTTTTCACCTGATCACTATGGGTCTTTTCTTAATCTCCATCATCCCCTTTTCATGCCCACTCCTGCTTGCTTGCTTGTTTCCCTAACAGATGAGCTATACTGTAATCCCATGGAATTACAGTTTGTGTTGTTTTGTTGTTATTGGACTACATCTGCCATCACCCCTGACCATTGGCCATGCTGACCTGAGCCTGATGGGAGTTATTTGTTGTTGTTGTTTAGTCGTTTAGTCGTGTCCGACTCTTCGTGACCCCATGGACCAGAGCACGCCAGGCACTTCTGTCTTCCACTGTCTCCCGCAGTTTGGTCAGACTCATGTTTGTAGCTTCGAGAACACTGTTATACAGCAACATAATCTTGAGGGCCTTAGCTTAAGTACCTCCAAACTCAATTATTATTTGATTACACAATTTGCAAGTCATTGCTTTTATGTGGAGAAGTTTTCTAAAGTAGTGATCACTGCTGCCCTTCCTTAATGTAAGGAATAGCAGGATAGATAGGATAGATGATGTTTCTAGAACTATGTACAGCCTAAAACATATTGTGCACTGGCAAAAACTCCATTTAGCTGCAAGCTGCTCTCTGGAAACCTACCTCACTAAGCCAAGATTTGTCTGAGCATGATGTGCAACCTGGGCTGTTGTGTGGGTGCTTTGAATTACTGTGGTTATGAGAAAACTACATGGCACGAACCTGAATGTAGAAGAACCCTGAAACTTTTTTTTTAAGATAAGAAAAGAAAAGCTGCTTTTGGGGAAATATACTTGTAGTGGAGAAGTGTGGGGAGAGCACATTAGTGACACATAACCTTACCCTTATCCACTGCTTTACCACTCCAAATCATGCCCCCTGTCACAGCCTACCTTCCCACTTCCCGGGGTTGTCAAGAACTTGTCTTCTCTCACAAGCCCATGTTAGATATCCCCTCTTCCATCACGATTACAATCCAATTCTACTTGTTCAAAAGTAGTTTTTCTTTAAAACAGTGTCCTCTAGCATTTGCATGCCACTTGTACTAAGCATCACAGCTGTAGGTACTGGTTTGCTGGAAGCTCTAGATAGCTCTTTAAGCGACTGTCCTCCATTTGCAGGGTAAATAAAAATATATTGGTGCATTTACTGTTGATTTGTAAATTTGTTGAAATGAAACCTCCCTATTAAATCTGTTTCATATGCATTAGCAGCGCAGAACATGAGGGCAATCATCTTGACAACCTGCCTTCATTTATTTTAAAGTGACAGAAAGAATGGGGTGATTTTCTAATGTTTTGTAACGTTTCAGAGATAATTTCCTGCATTAAAATACAGTCTGCCAGTTCAGAACAAGATTCCTGGCATTCTTCTTCAAGACGTTTAATACATTTAGGCAGCCTCTGAATATTTTCCTTTCCTTCCCCACCTCCCACCCCTTATTTATGCATACTATATTCATATTTGGTGAAATAAGATACAGTCCTTATCAAGGAGTAACACCCATTGAACATGGAGGAGCTTGCTTCTGAGTAAAAATGCATACAATGTTAGTGTTCCTGAGGTAAATTAAGAGTGCAGTTTTGGGCTCTTTCAGGTAGGCTCACTATTCCATGGGTGATGCAGCGACCTTGCATGAGCAAATGACACCCGAGGTGGGCACCAGAGAGGTGCATGGGGGTGGGCGCAGGCACTGGGGGATGGGGGCAGAGGGTGAAGGAGCCTGCTGTGGCACCACCGTCCTCACCAGACCAACCGCACCTTGCACCAGAGCTAAGCAAGGGTGCGCTGAGCCGTCTGCCCTCCTGGCACCCTCACTGGAGAGAGTCTGGCCAGCTGACACAGCTCCTGGTGGGCACAGAACAGGCACCTCCACGCCCACTCCCCCAGTGCAGCCTGTCTTGGTGCTCCTCTCTGTGAGCACTGGTAACTCCAAGACTGGGAGAGGAGCGCTAGGTGGGGCTGCACTGGGGCCCCCCTAAAAAATCTATGCCTGGGGCCATGACACCTCTGGCAACCCTATGCTACGCTGCTGGGGTTATGGATGGATCCAGGTTTTTTCTTTGATCCTACTGTCCCTCTTCCCTATAAGGTCTATTATCAGTGGAAGGAAAGCTGGTGGGACCTTCAAGTAAACATGGGGTGTGGGGAGGACATGATGACTGCACTGTTGGAGGAAACGGTGATGGTGCTGTTGAAAGAGAAGGAAGGACAGTGGCGGGATCATCTCACTCATGAATATATTTGCCCATATGTGCTGCAGTAAGAATAATATTTCATCTAGCTTTGTGGTAAGAACTGAGGGGCCTCTAAACAGCTGAAGGAATGACAATAAAGAAGTGGATATGTGCTATTCTGAATGCCTTTTCAAAGGTCGTTTCCAAGATGAGTCCTGGTTTTCAGCATCTGGAAAAGAAAGGAAGAGGCTGACAGGGTCCAAAATAAAAGTTTTACTAACTGGAGCATATCATCTAGCTAAACCTTATTTAGTCCATAAAACCCTGTATGCTTTCATTTTGGTACTGGGGTGGGTTGGTGTAGGTTTGCATTTGTATATGAGTGTATGTAGCAGACCCATAAAGAGTATAGGTTCAGAACATCTATATGGTAAAATGGAATTTGCGAAACTTGTGCTTGTGTGTTGATTTATTGTTTGTAACATTGCATACATCCAGCTATCCAGGAAGAGTTGACTGGCTTGTAACCAATAATGACTCGAGCCCCAAATATGTAAAAGGCCACCTCTTTCCCTACAGACCCTCTCAGGAGCTAAGGGGCCCCCTTGGTAGTTCCTCTACCCTCAGAGGTCCAGGGGTTCTGTAGGGGCCCCTTTGCAGTGGAGCTCCATTCCCTCAGAGATGCATCTGGCACCTTCATTACTCAGCTTTCGGAGAATGCTGAATATGCACCTGCTTACCCTGGCCGTTGAAACTTGAGGTGTATGTTTTTAGGACCCACCTTATTTTTACAGTTGTAAGTTGTTTAAAATCGTTTTTATATTGTGTTTTAATACTGTAACCCACCCTGGGACTTTAGGGTGAACGTTGGGGGAATAAATGTCTATTTAACTCTCAAGAGAAGTTCTTCAGGCCCTTTGTATGCTTTTGAACAGGATCGTGGACTATTCTAGCACGCTTGGTTTTTTTAAAAGTTGAGTCTTCAGTATGTTTTTAATCTGCTGCCATTGATATGTTTTTTATGATGCTGTTTTATGGCTGTTTGTTTTATTGTTTAGTTTGTTTGTAATATACTTGTGACATATTTTTGTTGTAAGCCACTTTGAGTTTGATTTTACCATGTAAAGTTGGAGTATAAATGTCTAAACAAACAACCATATAAATTAAAACTATTGTACCTATATTCTTAAGAGGTGTTAGACGCCATATTCCTGGGGGGTAGCCAAGGGCCTTCTCCCACTACAACATGGGCAATATCTTTCTTTGTCCTATTTTTATTCTGACTGCATTTCAGTAGACGGTCTGTCAAAGCAGCATCTGCAGGGAACTAGCATGTGATAGGAGATGCCTGGGAAACTAAAATAACCAGGGATATGGACCTCCAAGCTGCTATAAAAAATTGAGGCCATAATGAAATGAATAATTAATGAATACTAAATTAATGAATTAATAATGAATAATAATGACATCATGAATACCAAATCATTATGAATAATGAGTAATGAAATGAAGTTCAAGAAAAGTGCAAAATTCAAAAAACATATATTCTATAGATCTAGAATGTGAGTACTCCTGACATATTGAAGCAATACAACAAATATAATAGAGAAAATACAATAATTTCAGTAAAAGTAAACGGACTGTTTTGTCATCAGTGTTAGTAGGGTGGCCATATACACATCACTAAAAAAAAAGAGGACAAGGTGGAGTCAATAAAACGACGGGTCACCTATTACTTTCAGAGTCCAAAATAATGTTTTTAAGTTACTTGAAATACTCAGTTCTGGAGGTTGACCTAGGAGTAACAACCGCAGCTGTACGAATCTGTATAGCCAAAAACTGGGAAAAGAACAGTGCCCCATCAATGGTAGAATGGTTTGAGAAAATCTTTAACGTTGTAATAGAGCTAAAAGTAGCATACTAAAAAAGACCAACCACAGAATTGTGGTCCCTATTTATTATATTATGGAATTGCTTTGTTTCAAATTCTTGTCAAATATGTACATACAACTGATGTACAAATAAAACATGCATATTTTTAAAAATCAGATTAGGACACAAATTTGCATAAAATTTGATGGTGCTAATAGATAGATAGATAGATAGATAGATAGATAGATAGATGTAGTCATTTAGTTGTGACTGACTCTTCGTGACCCCATGGACCAGAGCACGCCAGGCACTCCTGTCTTCCACTGCCTCCCGCAACTTGGTTAAACTCATGTTTGTAGCTTCGAGAACACTGTCCAGCCATCTCGTCCTCTGTCGTCCCCTTCTCCTTGTACCCTCCATCTTTCCCAACATCAGGGTCTTTTCCAGGGAGTCTTCTCTTGTCATGTGTGATGGTCTGGGAATCTGATTCAGAAGCTGAATCTGAGGAGTCCCAGCCTGCACAGGAGTCCCCGCCTCCAGGGCCGGCTGAGCCGGGGCAGGGGCTTGAATCTGAAGGGCCTGCACCTGTGCCGGGTCCTCAGGAGCAGACACCAGATGTATCCACTCTGGCTCCGGAGGTGATTGAGGCCCCGTTGCCTGCAGGTGTGCCTTTCCCAGCCCTGTCAGGGGAAGGTGAAGCTGCTCCTGGGTCCAGTAACCCTCCAGCCTCTCCTGAGCTGCAGAGGCTCAGGGCAGAGAGGCGGAGGGAACTAAGTTCTCTCAGGAGGAGTGCTCTCCTTAAGGCCAGGAGAGGCAGGTCACCTGTGGGCCGGGACTGCCCCTGGCCTCAGAGGAGATAAAGGCCAGTCAGCCCAGTCCCAGGTTATGGGAGCAACATCATTGGAAACCTGTTTCTGCCAGCACCCAGACCTGTTCTTCCGGAGTTCCTGACCACGCCCGGCTTCTTGCTTTAGACCCCGCTACGCCCTTGGTGGACAGTCTCCAGACCCTCGACCCAGGACCGGACTCTGATCACGCCTCTCGGTAACACCCCCCTCCCCGGGTCCAGCACATCATGATAGATAGAAAGACTATTGCAAAATTAGAAATATTTATTTTAAGTTAAAGAAAAATGCCATACTTTTCACCATAGCAAGGAAGATCAGATGACCTTTTCTGTACTCAGTCTGCTGTCCAGGTAGCTAAGTGTTGATGGGAAATTTCAAGGCCACTGCTGTCTCTTCTTAGGATTCCTTATCCGTAAAACATACTTGGACCCGACAATCCTTCAGATCTAAGACATCTTCAGATAGAGGGTCGTCGTCTGTAAGATAAGATACATGGCTGCCCTAAATGTCAATCACAGACTTACAAACTGATCCTAGCACATTTACTTAGTTCCATTGATTTCAGTAGCACTTACTCTTAACAGAAGTGCTTGAAATAACATATCTCAGCATTGATCAAGGCACCAAACTTGAATTACTGAGGTTTTTATTCCACATATCATGATTACTATCAACTAGCTTATTAGCAGTTCCAGAAATTAGAATAATTGTTTCAAGTGAAAAAAGTGGGCCTCATTTTATGTTGAGAATGATCATTCCAGCTAGTGGCTATTTTAACTTTCTCTGTCTTCAAGGCATCCATAATTTTAAAAGTTCAGAATAATTTTTAGTTGATAACATCGTGCTACAAAATTTCAAACATTAGGTTAATGCATTTACTGCTGCTGTACTGGAATAGTAGCAGAGATCTGTTCCTACCCTGTTGATTAGATTTAGCTCAGCTTTCAGTATATTACACTAGAAACATTCTGGTAAGAGTAGCTGATTTGGCTATGAAGACGTGTTTGACAGGCAACAAAAACAACGTTAACTTCTCCCAAGATTCCAAGAAATGTAAAATATTTGTATAAATGTTAAAAAGTTTGGCTTCAGCTTTTCCCAAAGGAAGTTTTGTTTGGGAATTGTTAATAAAATAACAAAAACTGGCCAATGGAACACAGCATGCTTAAGTATTGATGATAGAAATCCTAGGCATTCATTCTCACAGCCAGGTAAGGCTTTATAGAACTGGCTAACACAGGACATTACTGCTGGAGAAAGGAATTGACACTGCAAACGTTTCCAGCATATTATATTGTTCTAGTCTTGTGTAAATATCCCAAATCTAAACCAGAAAGTTTATGTAACAGATGCCAAATCAGTCTCTCTGTACATATTCAGTTCCCAGTGATTTGGAGAATGATATGTTTTTCTGCTTAATGACACCGAAAATTAGTCCAAGGAGAAAAAGCCAAATATGCAACATACCCTTAATGTCTATGGTGTCATTTGTTTATAATTATTTATTTCTGTCATAGGATGTAAACATCCTTTTGAACCGTTATAAGGAAGAAAGACCATTACCCAAGAGAAAAGTGTTAGGGACATTATCTTCAGGGCATGTGGAAAACAATTGACAATAGAAAGAGAACACATTGTGTTGTTAACGATGCTCTCTTTGAAATCCATGTACTCTTGAATAGTTCCTATTGATTTCATTGGAGCCTGCACTGGAAATCTCTGGGTGGATTATATTCCATATCTTTTCATGAAAATATATGTATTGTTTCAAGGCTCACTAATGGTGATATGATTAAACAATGTTTTTTTATTGCTATTTGGATTATTATTTTTTGCTGTGTTTCTGGTATAGGTTTTTATTAAGTAGTTGTAGGAATGTACTTTCATAACCTATCCCAAAGAAGATTTTAATAATCTATATCATAGTCCAAAATCATGCAGATTTTCCTTTAAAGTTACTTTTGATGATTGTAATAAAGCCCATGGGAGCATAAAATCATTTGCTGGTGGAAAGAATGCATATCAAAAACTTTATTATGAAAATAAACTTATTTTGAAACTCAGTCTACGCTTTTGCTACATCTGCATCAGTTTCTGAACCTGGAAGCCATGTCACATCTTTCCATATGCCACATTCTTGGAGCCAAGTCACGGCATCATTTTCTCACTGTACAGTGATTTTTTCTTCCTTTTTGGCAGTCCGTTTGCGAAGAAGATCCATGTGGATCCCATTCTTTGAATGAAGTCTGTTCACAGGTGGATGCTTCTATTGTGTACTGCATCTTCAAGAGTCAAACTCAGAAAGCCTTACCCACAGGTGGACCAGGGGGACCAGATGACCATGGGTCAAGTTGTGGTGCTGTGCTGCTCACCTTATCTCCATCCAGCTGAGTAGTTGTTGCATATCGAGATGCAGAGGAGGGCCGAGGTTGGCACAGGGCAATTGCACCAGCAAGAGACCTGGATTGGCTGCCCCATCATGTTTGCACGGCGCTGTGGGTTAAACCACAGAGCCTAGGACTTGCCAATCAGAAGATTGGCGGTTTGAATCCCCGTGATGGGGTGAACCCCCATTGCTCAGTCCCTGCTCCTGCCAACCTAGCAGTTCGAAAGCACATCAAAAGTGCAAGTAGATAAATAGGTACCGCTCCGGTGGGAAGGTAAATGGTGTTTCCGTGTGCTGCTCTGGTTTGCCAGAAGCGGCTTAGTCATGCTGGTCACATGACCTGGAAGCTGTATGCCAGCTCCCTTGGCCAATAAAGCGAGATGAGCACTGCAACCCCAGAGTCAGCCACGACTGGACCTAATGGTCAGCGGTCCCTTTACCTTGACCTTTAACCTTAGCATCAGCTCCATCCCAATATACAGCATCTGCTCAGCTTCCATAACTGCCTTCCACTACTGATGGTGTCCTATTCAGTGGACAATCCTCTATATTTTAAGTTTTCTGTTTGAAGGGCTGCCCAGGTCTAAGTCCAGTTTAAGGATAGAGAACCATAAGGGGGGGGGAGTGAGACATTTGAAGGGGTCCATCAACCAATAGCACCTAGACGGCAGACAAGCCACCATGCAGATCATCTGATCACTGTCCTCCCCATTATGGTGAGATGTATTAAATATCTATTTAAAACTAGCAATTATTGCTAAATTTGCATATATATATATATATATATACACACACACACACACATTAGCATATACCAC